TATTTATTTATTCATGAGAGACACAGAGCGAGAGAGAGAGAGAGAGAGAGAGAGAGAGGCAGAGACACAGGCAGAGGGAGAAGCAGGCTCCATGCAGGGAGCCCGACGTGGGACTCGATCCCAGGTCTCCAGGATCAGGCCCTGGGATGAAGGCAGTGCTAAACCACTGAGCCACCCGGGCTGCCCTATAGTCCACCTTTAACTGAATTTTTACTTTTATGGATTTGAGTATGCCAAGTACAATTTAAGGCTTCCTATTAACACTTAACCATGAGCTGTCCAGTTCAAGATTGTAAAAATCTATTCTAATACATTTATATAGGAAAATTGTCTGTCTTCATGTTTGAACCCTTATTTACTACCTCTAAGATGAAAGCTAAAATATTTTTTTAAAGATTTATTTATTTTCTTTTGAGAGAGAGCGAGCATGAGTGAGAGGGGCAGAGGGAGTGGGAGAATCTCAAGCTGACTCCGCCCTGAGTTCAGAGCCTGACAACGGATTTGATCTCATGATCCTGAGCTGAAACCAAGAGTCAAGACACTCAACCAACTGTGCCACCCAGGCGCCCCTAAAAATGTTTTTACTTTAAGTTCTAAGATGGGCGCTGAAAATATCCCCTTAATGCTGTCAGTGAAATCTCCATATATTTTAATAGCCTTATTTAAAAAAATCAATTCCCAACTAACTAGTAACTGACTTTTATCAGATATCAATTTCTAGAAATTACCTGACATCTACTCCTAAACATGGTTTGTTTTGGGGCTCCCTAATAACCTGTGGTTAATAGAGTTTACAAACGGGAGGACAAGTTTTCTTCATTGCACTTTCCATTCAGCCCTGAAGTTTGTTTCTGCTATTATTGAAAATAGACCTAGTCTATGGTCATATTGCCCTGAAAGTGTCCCATTTCGTCTAATCTTGGAAGCTAACCACGGCCCATCCTGCTTTAGTACCACCTTGGTTAATATCTGGATGGGAGATCACCTGGTAAAACTGGGTGCGGTAGGCTTTTGGGATAAAAAACGGGGAAAAGAGGGAAGAGGAGTAGGGAAGAATAAAAGAAAAAGAAATTGAAAGACAAAAGAAAAAAAGAGAAAAGCTAAAACAGGGTATATCTAATCTAAATAGAGTTTTGAAATTTATTTCAAGATCTTCTCCCTATTTCTTATGTATTGAAATTCTACCTCATGGTCTAATAGATACCTAAAATGGAATATATTTTTTTAAAAAGCCCTGATGGCTCCTCCAAGTCTCCTCCACACACAGCCTCAAAATCTCAGCCCATAGCATATCTATGCTTCTGGATGCTCGGGACAACATTTTTGAGTCATCCCATCTCGTTGTATTGTGTTCCAACAAGGCTGCTCTTTGAGAGTGAGCAGGGAAGAGGAGTAAGGAGAAAGAAACCAATCTCTATTCTTTTGTAGGACCTGGGTTGGATCCTGCTGAGGCTGTGCCACCTGTTCTGGTTGCCACCTCTCATGATCCCCTCTGGCTACAAGCTCCTATGCCAATAGTAGTAGCACTGATAGCGAAGCACAGGTGGGATGAGTGGAGGGTTTCCCAGGCCCTTTTCCACTAGACCTCCACCCCCACCCATATGTATTTTGTGCCCCAATATAGAGGAAGGTTTTTCCTGGACACTTCATCTTTCTCTCTCCTTGATGTTGAGTCTGGGGACCGTGGAGGGTCACTTCCAAACTAAAGTACTAAATCCAGGCCAGAGGTGATATGGGGAGGTTCCCACTTCAGGAATCCAATGAGATACAGTGTGGAAGTATAATGTGTAATTTCTCAGAATCCCACTGACCCTGTGTCATTTGCATGGAGGGAGCCACAGAGAAGAGCAGAGCTGCAGAGACCAGAGACCTCAAAGTGCATTCTACTTGGGCCCTTCTCCAGGGCTGTGACCTGAAGTAAATCTCCTCACTGCCCTTGCTATATATTTTCTTGAGTATAGAATGGGAATACTAACAATCTCCCTCCTTACTGGAAACTAGGGGAGTTCTTGGGCCCTGAGACCTCAACCACCAGCTAGTGCCAGGCTCTTGACTTCCCCCACTAGAAAGCATTCAAGGATGAGTCACAGTAAAGTATGACAGAAAAAGCTTTATTGCAAGGTGAAAGTACACACTCCAAGGGACACTGAGTATGCGCCCACTCGGGAAGATCTGAGCCATGCCAGGTACATACAGGGCTCTGATTCTTAAGGGTGGTTATTATTTGGGTGTGGACTATTCAAGTGGGGTTCTGGAATAGGCATGGATTTCTAAGAACTGTACATATCACTATGCATGCTATTCTAGCTACCATGCACAGGCGCAGTCTGATTTCAGGCTACCTGGGCGTTTGTGCACAGTGTGTCACAACAACTGTCTGGAGCAACAACTTGACTTAGTCATAAATGGCTGGATTTGAAATACACCAACAAATCCATAACAATCCATTTTCCTGTTTAAGGTAATTACTTGATTTTGGAAAGTGAGTCCACTAAACTGTTGGGCTACAATAATTGCAGAAATGAGGGGTCTCTTTGGATGTAAATGGCCGAGAGGCCCTGTGTTCTCTTATTGTAATGCTAATCACCGTCAAGACTTAAATATTTTATTCATCTGTTGTCCATATGGGTTGCCTCCTTCACTTCATTCCAGACTCACTCCCATATCCTCTTCTCTTAGAGCCCTTCCTGGGTTGCCCAGTGTAAAGTTGCCCCAAATTCTAGGGTCTTCCCTCTGCTTTGCTTTCATTTTTTCAGGATCCCTAGGGCTCTTTGACATTCTCTTCATCATTTATTTAGTTCCTGTGTGAAGATCTGACTCCATCAGTGCAACTAGAGGTCCTCTTCATGTAACTCCACATTATCACTCATCACAGAATTATTTTGAACTAAAGGCAATAAGCAGCAGCAAAAACCAGAAAAACACTCTGCTCTCCTCCTATTTGCCTAAAAGCTGGAAAGAAATTTACTAGGACTAAATTTAATCACCAAAGACAACTTTAGACCCTTATCAGCCTGGCGACAGCACCATAGGAATTTACAAAACACACCTTACTAACTATCCTTTATCTATCTGTGCTTGCCTTCCCACAATATGCCACCCCTAGAGACTCAGGTACTTTTCCCTTGTCTTGCTACTTCTCTAATATTGTACTGTTCGTTAAAGATGTTCTGTAAGACTGAAAACAAATCCATGTCTTTGAGTTATTCAACCCAGACTCTCTCTCATGTACATATGAGATATACATACTAATAAACTTATGGTTTTCTTTTGTTAATGTCTTTTGTTATAAAAGTCTGAGGAGAGGGGCAGCCCGGGTAGCTCAGCAGCTTAGCGCTGCTTTCAGCCCAGGGCCTGATCCTGGAGATCCGGGATCGAGTCCCACGTCGGGCTCCCTGCATGGAGCCTGCTTCTCCCTCCGCCTGTGTCTCTGCCTCTCTGCCTCTCTCTGTGTGTCTCTCATGAATAAGTGAATAGAATCTTAAAAAAAAAAAAAAAAAAAAAAAAAAGTCTGAGGAGAGAACTTGGGATGGGTAGCAGAAAACATTTTCATCCCTTTTATCTCTACATATATGTGATGAATTGCAGACATGACTCCCCTGCATTATGCTTGTGGCCCTTCTAAGAAAGCACAAAGTCCCCAGGCCTCTGCCTTGAAATCCCTGCAATTTCCAGCGCCCCTTATGATACCCAAGACCTCTTCTTTTCCCGCACATGACACTAAGGACATCCTTCACAACAGGCCCCTGGAGTAATGGGACCTATATTAACCAGAAAACACTGGTCCAAGGACAGGTGAGTTGCTCCAATGAAAGCCCAGCAGAGGGGCAATTCCCTGCCTAGGAATGATGTTAGGGCAGGACCGCCCCCATTCTCCTCCTGGTTTTCTCCATAGTGCCAGGTAAGGATCAAGGTGATTGACTCCAGGACAGGATAGGGATCGCCCCACCCCCAGAGGCCCCCTCCTCTCTGCCCTGCTCCAACCAAGGACTCCGAAGGTTGGTGAGGGGATATCAAGTGCAGGACAACCGCAGGAGAGCCATCGGGATCTGAATCTGATTTGATTCTTGGTTAACGACATTGAAGCAAGGAACAGGGAGGGAGGCCTTCTTGATAGGACTCATGGCTGCCTCTGCCAATGGGGAAATCATAGTCTGGGATAGTACTTGATCCTGTCTGAATCTGCCAAGCGTATTCTGGGCGATGTATGCTGAGTAACAATTAGAGAGGTGGAGGAGATAAGTATGATGTAGGGCAAGGAGGAGCTGTGGCTGTGGGAATGCAGTTGCGAGAGGTGTGGCAGCAAGAGTAAGGTGCACACGGAAAGGGTCTGTGCACTCATGACCCAGGACCCCCATATTGGCATAACAGTAAAGGTGAGCCCACGTAATGGAGGTGTCTGGGAAAGGCGACCTGACGAACCCCAGGAGCACTGCCTGGAAAGAGGGGGTGTTGTGGCAGTGAATGGCAGGGCCAGAGCTTAGGTGCCATCTGTCGGCCCACCTGCCTATATTGTTGAGGCGTGACACAGTCACCAATGGGACCATGAGATACTAATTGAAATAAGGTAATGTTTATTAACTTCCACTAAGCGGGGAGGACATCTTGTGACGTAAAGACACTATGGAATGATGTATTTCTTTGGTTTGTAGCCTTTAGGATCATCAGAAATATTCTCGGCCTCCAAGAGACCGCGAATTTCGCTGGGTCTGAAATAAGTATCCAAACATTTGGGTGATCTGTGGCAGGGACCACTGCGCAAGACTATGATAACATTCTCTCAAAGAGGAAGCGAAGAACAACAGAATCGGCCTTTTCAGACGCACTAACCTGCAGGACTCGGGCCTTACCTGCCAGATGTCCCTGACCCCGGCCTTCGTAAATGCGGAGACTACTTTACCCAAAATGCCCGGAGTCGAGTGGCAGCGTCGCTCTCCAATGACAACTTAAAGAAAGGCTCTTCCGCGTGTGGCCCCCATCGCGAGGGCGGGACTTCCTGCTGTCTCCTCAGGGCGGCCATGACAGCTGCTCTTGTTTTGGTTCACCTGGTGAGGGTCTCTGGCGTTCTGCGTTCAGATTGATCTGACGCAACAGAAGGGGCGCGAGGAGCCGCTTACCCTGCTGCACCGTTGCGAGTCCGCGGCTCGGAAACGCCGCCCGGGCTGCCCCGCGCCGGGGACAGAACAGGGACCCCCGGGCCGGCTGTCCGCTCCCCACCCCGAGTCCGATGACGGCGGCGGCGTCCAGGGCCCCGACGCAGGTAAACGCTCGTCCCCTGGGCCCTCCTCGCCCTCCCCGCGCTCCCCCCCCCCCCCCCCCCGGCGCAAATCCTCGAGGCCGGAGCGCCGGGCGTCTGCTCGCGTCCCTGCGGCCCAGGCTCCCGTGTCCCGCAGAGGCAGGCGCGGGTGGGCGGGGGCCCCGTGTGTGAGCTCCGGCGCGCTCGCTGGCGTGCGGGAGCGGGCTGCAGGGGAGGGGCACACCTAAGGGGCGGTAGTGAGCGCTGAGGCACACAGCTTGCCTGCCAGCGCAGGCCTGGTCTTCTGGGCCGGGCAAGGGTACAGGGAGCTTTGAGTCCGTGGAACCCGCCGTGGACTCGGTCAAAGGCTGGACTCTCCCCAATTCCCGCGGCTGCAGAAGCGCTTATGGAGCCGACACGAACAAGTGGGAGGTGGCCCACGCCTTCACTGGCCCTGACCTGACCCCCACCCGCTTGTCTTCTGCATTGTTGTGTCCCGGGACTCTGAAGTGCCATTCTGACAACCGGTGTGTGCACGGTTATCCCAGGAGCATCAAACACGGTGTGCACATGCTTGAATTAACACTCAGCTGGAACTGTCTAGGAAACCACCGTTCTTTTTTCTTAAGGGTGGGAGCAAAGAGCAGGAAGGCGGACAGGAATCAGGACTGGAATAACTGCCTGGGAAGTTGGGTGTGTCCTCTGGTGGTAATGGGAGGCTTGGATATGAGCAGCCATGTGGTATTACAAGGTCCTGATAGGCTCCATCCCGCCATAGCATGAAGTATACACTATGGGCTGAGGGAGGAGGCAGGACGATCAGGGTGGAGGCTACTGTCATAGGCTAGGTGAGGGTTTTTGGACCAGAGTGCTGGGTTCGATGTCATTGTATTCTGGATATGTGTTTTAAAAAGTGACAACTGTATTTTCTATGTGGACAGAGACAGGGTGAAATGGAGGATTCAGGGGTTATCTCTAGGGTTTTTTTTCTTAGCAGCTGTAGGAATGGAAGCTCCATCAACTGAGATGAGTGATGTTGGTGGGAGATGTTTTGGAGAGCACTGAGTGGATGCATTAAGTGAGCAGTCAAACACACAGGTCTGGAAATCTGGGGAGGGGTTCAGAAGAGAGACATCTAAAACCATCATGGCTCCTGTGTGGCCCCGGGTGAGTGAGCCGTGAGACACATTTGTGAGGAGCAGTCTTCTGGTTATGGTGATAAAGCTCTTCTGGTGCCAGGAAGTTGAGGGGGGAAAGAGAACCAGGACTGGATACTTAGGTGATTGTATGACTTCAGAGATGAGGGATGTGAGTGGCCATGAAGGAAGAGTGCGTCCAAGACTGGATACCTGGGCAGGTGGGCAAGGTTTCCAGCAGAAGAGTAGACAGAAGAGGGATCCGGAGCTGAGGAGGAATTAAGACAAGATGGTGACACTCAGCACTGCGCTAGTGCTTCTCCACTCTGAACTCCACCAGGGTTTTGTGAGGACTTTAGTAGGGCCTGGGGTATTTCATCCTGGAGGAATAAGGTCATGTGTAATGTGCTGATGTGATCACCTGTGAGAGTCACTAAGCTTGGGGTAGGCCACCCAGCAACCTTGGCTTTGGATGAGGGTCAGGACAGAGGGAGACTGTGATTGCTGAGGGGACAACAAGTGCAGTACAGGTGGAGGAGGACCTTGAGAGGAGGTATCTTCAGATCTACATACGGTTCCTAAAACAGAACAGGTTCCCTGTTATGACTTTATGTCTGGTGAAAGGTGGAGGAACTCATGGTGTGAGTATAAGTTCTCCCCGCTCTTCTGCCGTTGACAAGGTCTCCTAAAGAAACAGCCTTTCATCAAAGGTGTGTTTCCTGCTTATCCCACCCCCCCCTTTTTTTTTTGAAAGATTTTATTTATTTATTCATGAGAGACACTGACAGAGAGGCAGGGACATAGGCAGAGGGAGAAGCAGGCTCCCTGTGGGCAGCCTGATCCCAGTCCCTATGGACTCGATCCCAGGACCCCAGGATCACGACCTGAGCCAAAGGCAGACGCTCAACAACTGAGCCACCCAGGCATCCCCCTCCTTATCCTTTGTATGGGTTTCAGGTCCCTACCAGCCCATGGAGTTATTCAGAAAAGCCAATCACATCCTCTTACAGGAACCAGGAGGTACCTCACCCTCTTGATCCCACAAAGCTCAGATCCTACAGCTCCCGGCTGTTCACTCTTTCTGAGAGTGCCACCCCCATGTGGGCCTGTGTGGGGTGTGGTGTCCTCCTCTCCCAGGCTGTGAATATATGTGATTAGTAAAGTGCTATCCGTCTCCTCTGTACAGGGTCAGGTGTCGTGTGTTTGGCCATCCCCATAACCCTAAGATGAGACTCCTGCACTCACCAGTGGGTTGAAGAGGAGGTGATTAAAATACAAGTAACATGTGGGGAGGCCAGGGAGATTCCTGTGGTGTGGGACAGTGAGGCAGTGATGACCATAGGCATGTGGCCTTGGGCTCCAGTCTCAAGAATGTTGTGTACTTGGAGAGGGAGTATGCCTGGTGATGCCAGGGCCCTGGTATTCAGCGGAATAGCCTGGGTGGCCGGGAGGATCCTTCTGTGCCAGGTCTGCAACTTAGATGTGTACTTGTCCACCTGCCTCTTGTTGTGTCGGCGGGCCCTGTGATCAGTGGGCCCATGAGGAGACAGTGGCGCCATGGCACCCAGGCACTGGGGCCTGGTTTCTTCTGTCAGATGGGGAGATCAGGGGGAGGATGGGCATAGGGTAGATGTGGGTGGGAAAAGGGAAATGGGTTCTTGGGAGAGGGGCTTTTTGTGGTTTCATCTGTCCCCATCATGCCAGGGCAGGGTGACCTTTGAAGACGTGGCCGTGTACTTCTCCTGGGAGGAATGGGGTCTCCTTGATGAGGCTCAGAGATGTCTGTACCAGGATGTGATGCTGGAGAACTTGGCACTTATAACCTCCTTGGGTAAGACCCTCAACCCCACCCCTGTGCCCTGAGCTAGTCTCTGCCCTTCCCTTTGTCCCCAGGAGCAGTCTGTCTTTGCATAGGGGCCATGAGCATTGCTTCCTTCCCCCGTTCTAGGGGTAGGTGCTGTAGTTGCTAAGGCTGAGGTCAGTGAACTGCCTTCCTTCCTTGAGCAGCCGCCCCAACACTAGCTTTCCTGCTGCCTTTCAGGGAAGGAATCGGGGTCAGGAGTCTTGCAGTGAACCTAATGGATATCAGCTTTCTTGCCCTCTCCCTGACTGGGTGACTTTGTCTAGATGCAGGATATCTGCATGCTCCAGGTCTGCTGCTTTTCTCTAGCTGAGGCTTCCTCGTGCCTGCCTATGTCAGGACTTGCTGTCTCTGACAAAGTTACTACTTCTATGGAGCATGGGCTGTTCTCGTGAGACTCTGTCCAGACTTCTCTGGGGACTGTTTAGTTCTCTTTGCCATGGGCTGTCGTGTGCTGCGTTGTTCTGGGATACTGATGGCTGCTCATCTGTCCTGTCTTTTCCTTAGCACTTGTATCATAAAGTTGCCATGTACTTGCTGATTATGGGCGTGGGGTTGGATTGGAGAACCTGTGGTGGTTCACAGTGGGTACATTGACCCACATACAACATGATGGCTCAGAGGAAGCCAGGCCTGCAGTGGTACCTGGGGGAGATGCTGTGTGTTCAGATCATACCAGAAGCCCATTCTGTTTGACTAGTATTTTGATGCCAGAGTCCACATTTCATTTCTATCTTTTCTTCCCCTTTCTTGGCACTTTGCCGACTTGTCAAGTCTGTTACTTGTCACTTCTACTCTTGCTTCTGGCCTGAGGTGAACCTCACATTTCTGGGATCCATCTCTCACTTGTTTTTCCTGCTACTCCACCAACAGTACTTTGCACATTGGCTGCTGTATGTCAAGAGGTGTGCCTGTGTTCTTAAGCAGTCCTTGAACACCGCCTGCCAGGTTCCAGTCCTATTTCCTTGGGTCTTGACACACCCTTCTGCATGGAATAGGTGTGTCAGTAGGAGATACGTTTCTTTGGAAAGTTGTTTGCAGAGGAATGAATTGCAGACCAATCTCTCTCCTCTGTGTCACACCACATGCTTGCATCCTTCACCTCATGAGGCCTCTCCCATTCTGTGCTCTTTGTAGCCTGCCACTGCTAAGCAGCCCCATCCTCCCAACCTGAACCATCTCCCCAGTCCTGCAAACAATCCCATTCACTGGTTCCTGGGTTTGTTAGACACACATTTGTAGCTCGTATAGGAGCTGCCCCCTCCCACCAAAGGCAGCATGCACTTCACCAGCATTTCTTGCTTTCAGGTTGTAGGCTTGGAGCAGATGAGGAGGAGGCCCCAGAGCAGAGAGTGTCTGTGCAAGGAGTGTCACAGGTCAGGATTTTGAAGGCAGTTGTGTCCCCCCAAGAGGTCCATCCTCGTGAGGTGTGTGGCCAGGACCTGAGAGACATTTTGCTCTCCACCGAGCACCAGGCAACACTTTGTGGACAGAATCACTACCAGATTGGGGCCTGTGAGAAACAGTGGTATTTTGGTGCAAACCTTCAGCACCAGAAGCAGCACACTGGAGAGAAATGCTTCAGAAGCAGCATGGGCAGAGCCTCTTTTGTGAAGGACAATGAATTCTGTGTATCAGGGAAACCTTTTTCCTGTGGGGAGGTTGTGAGGGACAGCTTGGCCACCTCAAGACTGCTCCAGCATCAGGCCACACACACCAGGGAGAAGTCATGCAGGAGAACCGAGTACGGGGCATCCTCTCATGGAAGGAAAGCACAACACAACTGGGGAAAAGGCACGCAGGACTTCACTTGCACACATGCACTTGTTCATCCCCAGAGAGACCTCCCTAGAGAAAGATGCTTCATGTGCAGTGAATGTGGTAAATCTTTTAGCAAAAGCTACAGCCTCAGTGACCACTGGAGAGTGCACACTGGGGAAAAGCCTTACGAGTGTGGGGAATGTGGGAAGTCCTTCAGGCAGAGCTCTAGCCTCATTCAGCACCGGAGAGTTCACACTGGAGCAAGGCCTCACGAGTGTGATGAATGTGGGAAATTATTTAGCAACAAGTCCAACCTCATTAAACATCGGAGAATTCACACTGGAGAACGGCCCTATGAGTGTAGTGAATGTGGGAAATCCTTCAGTGAAAGCTCTGCACTCCTTCAACACCGCAGTGTTCACACTGGAGAAAGGCCTTATGAGTGCAGTGAATGTGGGAAATTCTTTACCTACCACTCCAGTCTCATTAAACACCAGAGGGTTCACTCAGGATCAAGGCCCTATGAGTGCAGCGAATGTGGAAAATCCTTCACTCAAAACTCCAGCCTCATTGAACACCGTAGAGTTCACAGTGGAGAAAGGCCTTATAAGTGCAGCGAATGTGAGAAATCTTTTAGCCAAAGCTCTGCGCTGCTTCAACATCGGAGAGTTCACACGGGAGAAAGGCCTTATGAGTGCAGCGAGTGTGGGAAATTCTTTACTTACAGTTCCAGTCTTCTCAAACACCAGAGAGTACACACTGGATCGAGACCTTATGAGTGCAGTGAATGTGGAAAATCCTTCACTCAAAACTCCAGCCTCATTAAACACAGGAGAATTCACACTGGAGAAAGACCTTACAGGTGCCACGAATGTGGCAAATCCTTTAGCCATAGTTCTAGCCTCATTAAGCACGGAAAAGTGCACACTGGATAAAGGCTTTAGGAGTACAGTGACTTTGGGAAACGTTTGACGTGTCTTCCATTTCAGTGACCATTCAAATTTTCACATTGAAAAAGGCTTTGTGAGTATTTGAACGTAGGCTAATATTTACCTAGAAGTCCAAGCTCTTACAACACCACGTTATCTCCTTAAATGAAAGCCTGCGAATGTGGTGGAAATTGTGGGAAGTGGCCAACCAGAGGCTAGCCTCATTGCACTCCAGAGAACTCGTAGTAGTGAAAGGCCTTCTGAATGCAGTGACTCTGGGAGAGCCTTCACCCGAAGGACTCACCTCAGAGGATATCACAAATTGCAGATGGGAGAACTACCTTAAATGTGCAGGTATTTATAAGTGGAATGTAACAACACTGGAAGAGGTCCCTTGTGAGGGTGCCATTTGCCTGTGTTGAAGCTCACGCATTCAAACATCTGTATAAATCTCAGGTGTGCGGCAGCTGCATCGTACTTTTCCAACCTGCCCAGGGCCATCCCCATTGTCAGGGCAATTGCTGGGTGACTAACGAGTTGCCTGAGCACTGACTCCTTTCCTATTTTTCCTCCCTGAAGAGAAGGCATGGATCTCACCCAGTTTTGTCCTAGAGGATTATTGGTGATTTGAAAAGGTGGACTACATTATTCGGGGACATTGTGGTCCTTGTGAAACTCTCTGATGATGCAATCCCCCAGTCTCCCAAGTCACCAACCCAGGAACAGTCTGCCTCCCATCGCTCGTGCTTTGTGACAGTAAAGATCGTATTAAGCCACCATTAATCTTTGCTTGTTTTTTTTTTTTTTTTGGTAAGTGTCTTTACTTTTTTTTTCTTTAAGATTTTATTTATTTATTCATGAGAGACAGAGAGAGAGAGAGAGAGAGAGAGGCAGAGACACAGGCAGAGACACAGGCAGAGAGAGCAGCAGGCTCCATGCAGGGAGCCTGACGTGGGACTCAATCCCAGGTCTCCAGGATCACACCCTGGGCTGAAGGCGGTGCTAAACTGCTGAGCCACCCGGGCCCCCCTAAGCCACCATTAATCTTGGGGAGTCTGTTCACTGTGTGTGTGTGTTGAGAGCAACTATTTGCTAGCATGAAGGGATGAACAGAGTTGTGTACCTCAGAAGGGACTGTATGATGGCAGAAGATAGCTGTTCAAAGCCTTTGGCTGCTCAGAGCCTTTAAGGAAAGACTACAGGGCTCTGTGGTCCTAACTTATAGTTGGATGCCAGGATGTTTTGTGGGGTTGGCATTTCAACCCAAAGAGGAGGCAATTGTTGGTTATTTGACAACCTTCAGTGCTTCTGAGCAACGTGATCCTGTTCTCTTGTTCACGGGGGTATGGATGGCATGGTGCTCAGCGCTGGTGAAGGAAATCTATTCCCCAGGCCCAGCAGCAGAGCCACGGGTCTTGGTATCCTGAATTCTGAAGGGTAACATCACTAGTTTTGAGAGTGTAATGCCAGGGGAATGATCATGGTCCCAGAAACACTGGATTAATAGTGCAGGAGACCAAGAAAGTGGTTGGAATGTGCCTCTTTGAGAAGAGCATGCACAATGTTTAGGCACCAGGACTATGAAGGATGGGTAGGTTCAGAAATTCTCAGGACCTCCAGAAGGATCTATCCTGTGTAGCTGAGGACCTGTCAGAAAAAATACTCTAAAGGTTTTGTGGATTCCTTGGTGCCTCTGGGCTGTCCAAAGGCCATTACTGTGCGTGGCAGCAAAACAGGACAGAGACAGGAGAGATCTCTTAGTGCAGCAATGAGGTCTTTGTGACTCAGCCAGTATCCCTGTTTAATGAACTGGAAACACCTTCACTGCTCACCTATTTTTGCTACCACTGAGGCAAGTTCCTTCTGATGAGGAGACAGACGGTGGAGTCACTATGGTGGCAAACTTGTTCTAAAGCGTATGGAATCCAGACAACTTGAATCATATACTTTTCTTAAGTTATAATAAGGTGTAAATGGCATTCAGTGTCCATCATTAAATTGTTGCAATTTGATATTTTGACATTCACATAAACCCATGAAGCCATCAATCATGATTAATAAGCCTTTTCATCACCCCCACATTTACTTTGTGACCTTTAATAATCTCTCCTGGAGGCAGGCATTGAGTTGCTTTTCATTATACTAGATAAGTTTGCATTTTCTAGAATTTCTATGATTGAAGTCTTAAAGCGTTTCGTCCTCCTTTTCCTTGGGTCCCCTCATGTGACATACTCATTTTAAAATTCACCTATGATGCTTATATGAGCAGTCCATTCTTTGTCTCTTTGAGAAGTATGTTTTATCGACAGTGCACTATTTATGTATTCATGTGTTTATGGATATTTTAATTGCTTCCAGTTTGGATGGCTGTAGGTAAAACTGCGGCAGAAGGGGCGCCTGGGTGCCTCGTTGGTTAAGCATTCTGACTTTTGATTTCGGCTCAGGTCACGATCTCAGGGTTGTGAGCTCAAGCCCAGTGAACCCTGTGTTGAGCTCTGCTGTGGGTGTGGAGCCTGCTTAAGATTCTCTCTCTCCCTTTCCCTCTGCCCCACCCTCCCTTCCTGGCGACTGCCCACCTCTGCCCTGCTGGGGCTTTCTGAGTAAATAAATAAAATTGCAACCATCCCCCAAATCCCTAAAAACCCTTCTTAAAAAAAAGAAAAGAGAAAAAAAAAAACTGCTATTGGATTTGGATACCACTGTTCCTATTGGTATTGTTCCTTTCTCTTGTCCATACTGGAATCCCAGTGTAGGTGAATGAATGTATGACCTCTTAAAGAATACCAAATTGTCATGGAAAATGATTATTCCTTTTGTATTCCCACTTGCAGTGTATGAGAGTTCCAGTTCTCTGGTATCTTTGCACAGGCAGAGGAAGTAGCAGGCTCCACGCAGGGAGCCCAACACAGGACTGGATCCAGGGTCTCCAGGATCACACGCTGGCTGAAGGCGGCGCTAAACTGCTGAGCCACCCAGGCTGCCCTTTAGAAACATATTCTGAAGGGGTTAGGCGTGAATGACAATGTCTGGTATCATAAAGAAATCACTAAGTGCATAGGGTAGATGAAAGAGCAACCATAGAATGATAAATAATGACAGAATAACAACTTTCTAATAGTCTTTTCGGTTTTGGGAATATATTTGAAAATGCCATTACGAAGAGTAGAATATGTCCTGTTAGGAGTAATCTGCTTCTTACTGACCTGCTATAAATCAGAGGCTCCCCTGACCCCTCCTCTTACTTGACTGTCTTGCTGGGGTGGCTCACAGGACTCTGGGAAGTATGTTTACCGGCAGATGAAGAAGTTCATAGGGTGAGGTACAAAAGGGTCTCCAGTGCAGGAGCTTCTGTCCTCATGGAGCCTTGATGTGCCACCCTCCAGGCATGTTTACAAATATAGAGGCTCCTCAATTGTTCAAGAGTTTTTATAGAGCTTTAATTTCCAGCTCCAGCACTTTCCCAAGGGGATCAGCGGAGGGGATTCAAGTTCCAGCCCTCTAATCCTGGTGTGTCTGATGACCATTCCCCATCCTGATTAGGGTCCCCCCGCCAATATACCTCATTAGCGTAAATTCAGGTGCTCAAAAGGGGGCTCCTTATGAAATACACAAGATACTCCTATATTCCAGGAGTTAACAAGGGTTGTAGGAGTTATGTGCCAGGAACAGGACACATGGGACCAAGACCAAATATATTTCTTCTTGTATCACATTGAGTAAGTATTAAGTTGGACTGTGATGTGCACAAGAAATCAGCAAAGACATTGCAAAGACAGAAAAAATCTCACCCTGTTATACAAACAGAACCCATTACATATGTATTTTTAAGATAAATAGAACCTGTCCTCAAGTAAGGTCACTTGACAGCACGTTTGTCACACACAGTTTATCCTAACTTTATGTTTGTTTGTTTGTTTTTTCCTAACTTTATGTTTGTAACCGGAGTAGCCATATGTGTTATTTTATTGATTTTTTATAGAGGAAAAGGAAATTTATTTGTATGACAGTACTTTTTGGAATTAAAAAATATAGGTCATGAATGGAGGAGTAAGGGAGTCCTAGTGGCAAAAGATGTGTAGTCTTCAAAGGGATGGGGGGGTACTCATAAATTCTCTAAGCAAAATGCTGTGACAGAAGAGAGGGGAGAATCAACAGGGAGAATTAAGCCTCTCATTTCTAATCTGTATTTCACATAGCTGAAAACACCAAGCTGACATTCTAACAACTGATGGATCTACCTAAGAAGATACCTTACCTAAATAATCTTTCAGGTAGGCAACTTAGAGTCTACATTGCACGAGGTAGCCTATTCATGCAAAATAGAAAGAGGGCTATTGGCTAACCAGAATTGTAATTCCTTTTTGTCCTGTGTATAAACAGTATTGCAGAGGCCACTTAGGAACCCTGGCACTAGGTACTTTATGAAAAGCTTAAAACTTCATCCTTGATGTTTCCTTTTCAAAGCTGTCCCTCTTTATCCTCTTTGTAGACCTCCTTTCTTTTCCTTACCCTTAGGTTATTCCGACTTGGCTGAAACTGCTGAAGTATCCGTTGAGTTTGTAACTTTTTTGTGGGGGAGACCTATTCCTGGAAGATGGCCATTCAACCCAGTTTTTAAAAAATCTCTTGCATTAGTTACTAACCATCATATCAGTAATTCCGAAGGGAATAAGTAGTGTCCTTGAAAGGCCTTGTGATGTGGTTTTTATTTATATTGTGAGTGTCTGTGAGGCAAGAAGGTCCCAAAGTTCTTTACCCTGATATGGGCAATTTTTAGGTAATGTCCCAATAGTTTATGATAGATGTAAGGTAGGATCATTTGTTACCAAGGTATGTGGTCCAATTAGATGACTGCCTGAAGTTTGGCCAAGTTTGTTTTCTTGTCCATCCCATTCTTAGTCTGGAACATCCTAGCTTAGGAGTGGAAAGCAGCAACATTTCACTGAGCTCCATCGCATATGATGGCTGGCAATGCCTTTCATACAAACTCTCATTACTCTTGGCTCATTTAATCCAAAGGGGCTCCCCAGATAGCTGATGTGTTTGGGAAAGAGGTGACCTTCTCCAGTAACATGGCATCTGGCATGGGACTGAGAACATAGAACATCTCCCCCTCTGCAGGTGGACACCTGAGGGCTTAGGTTTAGTTTCATCCCATCTTAAGGAGAACTTGGTAGCTCTTCCAAGCTTGTGGGGGTGCTATTTTCATGATCCAAAGCATTATGGGCAGCTAGGTTGGGAGAGTTGCAGGTTTGGGTTCTATGTGGGGTCTCTTTACATCCAGGAGAGCCCAGTAGTAGCCAGTCATTTATCCTTTAAAGGTGCGTGGTAGAGATGCCTGGGCGGCCAGTGGTTGAGCATCTGCATTTGGCCCAGGTCGTGATCCTGGGGCCTAGGATCAAGTCTTGCATTGTTGGGCTCCCTGCAGGGAGCCTGCTCCTCCCTCTGCCTATGTCTCTTGTTCTGTGTCTCTCATGAATAAATAAATAAAATCTTTTAAAAAATAAAAATAAGGGCAGCCCGGGTGGCTCAGCGGTTTAGCGCCGCCTTCAGCCTGGGGCATGATCCTCGAGACCCCGGATCGAGGCCCACATCGGGCTCCCTGCATAGAGCCTGCTTCTTCCTCTGCCTGTGTCTCTGCTTCTCTCTCTCTCTCTCTCTCTCTCTCTCTCTCTCTGTCACTAATGAATAAAATCTTTAAAAAATTAAAAAAATAAAAATAAATAAAAATAAAATAAAACAATGGTTCATGGTACATGATGCAGAGGGGCAGTTTTTTGTATCAGAAGCCTTTGGACAACTGTCCGCTCTGAGTGTTCCAGAGACTCAAGGAGGCATGAAAAGGGATTACCAGTGCCTCTATAGTGATGGACTCTCTGAGGGAACTACTGGGAGTGCATATTGATTTTAATTTAGTCAGATTTTAGAGGTTTTTGTTGAAGGGACCCCCCCCCCTTTAAGGGGAGCTGATCTGTAAGTAGCATTATCAATGAAATTAAGGACTATTTATAGGTGATGAGTATGTTGCCACCAGAACCCAAAAAGGACTCAAAGACGTTGGACCTGAATGTCCATAGTGTGTCAGGTAAAACTCCTTGAAGAAGGTTGTCATCAATATAATCAATACTGCTGGAAGAAGTAAATGCAGTTTAGACATTGTCTGCAAAGAGTATGTGTTATGGTGAAGCTTTCAAGGTACCCTATAGGTAGTCTGGAAAAAGCATATTTTGTCCCTTTGGAAGTGAAGACAGATAGCAATTTGAGAGGCTGCTGAATTAGGCACTGAACAGACCAATATCAACCAGAGCTTTAAGAATAGAATACTTCCTTGTTATTTCTGTAATAGAGTCAGTAATTTTAATACTGTTGGACATTGAGTGTGGCCCTTAGTGGAATCATAGCATTGAGGTTGTAGTAGTCCATCAATATGTGCCCATTATGTTTTCCAAGATTAAGAATGGGAAAAATTGTTTTTTTAAAAAAAATTTTTTAAATTTTTATTTATTTATGATAGTCACAGAGAGAGAAAGAGAGAGAGGCAGAGACATAGGCAGAGGGAGAAGCAGGCTTCATGCACCGGGAGCCCGATGTGGGATTCGATCCCGGGTCTCCAGGATCGCGCCCTGGGCCAAAGGCAGGCGCCAAACCGCTGCACCACCCAGGGATCCCGAAAAATTGTTTTATATCATAAAATTTAATCCTTGAAGTGGTTTCATGGGGTCCTATCTTATCAAGCCAATTTATAATTGCTGAAGATTTTATTACTCATTGTGTGAAGGTATCTATGCCCAATATGGGATATTTTGGCGGGGGGGGGGTGGAATTTAGAGAAGGCTATATAAAGTGAGACATACCTATTATTCTCTTTTATATTACCTTTTTTAAGATTATAGATAAGGCATACAATATTTAAATTTAGTGAGATCTCCAGTTAATATTAAATTAACTATAATTTGGGCCCTAGTATTAAATCCATGATGTTTTGTCAGTGTATTTTTGCAAATGCTTAAGTTATCTTTGGTGTTTGTGTCTATACAACACCAGTTCTAAGATAACTTAAGCAGTGCCCTCATCATTTTGTTATATAATATTTTTAGTATAAAAATGTTACATATTTGCAATGCATATAATATACATAATTTATTATATAAAGTTCTAGTATATAAATTGTACATTTCAAATTATGTACTTTTGTTTTTAGTATATATTATATATACATATATACAACTAACTATATCTATGTTAAAATTGTATATATAAGCATATATAGGTATATATATTTTATATATAAATATACATATAGGTATATACATATTTGGGATGCCTGGGTGGCTCAGCGGTTGAACGTCTGCCTTCGGCTCAGGTCGTGATCCCGGGATCAAGTCCCACATCGGGTTCCCTGCATGGAGCCTGCTTCTCCCTCTGCCTATGTCTCTGCCTCTCTCTGTCTCTCATGAATAAATAAATAAAATCTTTTTTTAAAAAAAGTATATACATATTTAAGTACCTTTCATTTTCTCCTCCTATATCTAGATTTTTTTCCTGTTTGAGACTTTTTTTTTAAGATTTTATTTATTTATTAATGAAAGACAGAGAGAAGGAGCACACAGCAGAGACACAGGCAGAGGGAGAAGCAGGCTCCATGCAGGGAGACTGATGTGGGACTCGATCCTGAGTCCTCTATCCTGGGTCTCCAGGATCAGGCCCTGGGCTGAAGGTGGCGCTAAACTGCTGAGCCACCTGGGCTGCCCAAAGATTTTATTTATTTGAGAGAGAGAGCGAGCACAAGCAGGGGGAGTAGCAGAAGAAGAAGCAGGCTCCCATTGAGCAGGAAACTGACTTCTGGCTTGACCCCAGGAACCCAGGATCATGACCTGAGCCAAAGCCAGACGCTTCACCAGCTGAACCCAACCACCCAGGTGCCCCGTTTGAGACTTTTAGCCACCTGTAGCTGTGGTTAGTACTTTTCTGTCTGTAGCTGATAAGAGATAAGGGGGAGGGGCCTGTGCCTCTAGGCAGCAAACTTTCCCTGGGACATGCAGTCAGTTCTCTCTTCCCCTTACCCTTCTTTTATCTTAAATCTTTTATTTTTCGGATGCCTGGGTGGCTTAGTGGTTGAGCATCGGCCTTTGGCTCAGTTTGTGAACCTGGGGTTCTGGGATCGAGTCCTGCATCGGGCTCCCCGCAGGGAGCCTACTTCTCCCTCTGCTATGTCTCTGCCTCTCTCTGTGTGTCTCTAATGAATAAATAAATAAAATTTATTTTTTTTTTTTTGAGAGAGAGCATGAGCATGCATGAGGTAGGGCAAGGGATAGAGATACTCTTAAACAGGCTCCATGCCTAGTGTAGAGCTCAACTCATGGGGGGCTCAATCTCATAACCCTGAGATTATGACCTGAACTGAAATCGAGACTCAGACATTTAAAAGACTGAGCCACCCAGGCATCCCTTTCCTAAATTTCTTAGAAAGACTTATGTCTCTAAGATGGTAAAATTTTCCTTTTTTCTTTTCTTTTTTTTTTTCTTTTGGTCTCTGGTATGTATCCAATTGATTTTTTTTCCTTCTTTGTCCTTTCTTTGAATGTTTACCTGTGAAACTCCTGATCACCATGAGTGGCTTTTATTGTGAGCAGTGGCCTCCCTTTCTATGATGTCTCCATCAACCTCAGAGGGACTGGAGACAGGAGAACAATGGAGGTGGGATCCTGGTTTTTTGAGGAAAAGACTCCTAGTATGTTGATACATGGTGGCACATAGGAGTGTCCCAGCACATTGGCCCAGAGATTTGTAATCTCATATAAATTGAGAAACCTCAGGTATCTTAGAACAGTAACAAAATGTTTCTTCCTCTCTTTTTCATTAAGCATTGAGCCATAAGTCTTCAAGGATGAATGATCCTTTATACATTACATGAAGTATGACAGCAACAGGGCAAGCAACAACGAAGAGATCTGCCTTGGAAGCAACATTTAAGCTTTTTGGGTACTGTGATTTC